AAGGGAGTGGAGAGAGAGAGAGAGAGAGAGAGAGAGAGAGAAACAAATTTAAACTTGAAAAATAAATGAGTTTAAGTTTCTTCTATGGAAGAAGCCTAATATAATAACTGGCAAGGAGTAGGAAGCAATGATGATTATCACTTATACTGTTTTCATTTATTTCACAACACTCGATCACTAATATTTAGTTATTCAAATTTAAGTATTCACTTTCAAATATTGATAGCTAGTATCTGAGAATGCTATAAAATTTTATTTTTGAAATTTCAGACATTCATGCAAAATATTATATCTTCATCAATCTTAGCTTATTATAATTTTCTCTATGAAGACTTGAGATAAGTATATTCAGAGATTGCTACTCTTACCCCATGGTATGCCATAAAGAGAACCCAAATTAGTCTTTGGAGCAGTCATGCATTTATCCATGTGCTTTCTTCACTAATGCCTGTCTCTTTCTCTAAACTCTAAGTTCCATTAGGCCAGGGCCTTGCCCTTTTCAGGAGAGGCTGTATGGTGAAGCTGTTAAGCACATGGGCTTAAGTGTCATTTCCAGGATGATATTCCACCTAGTCCTCTTACTAGCTGTGTGATCCTGGGCTTCTTAATTAATACTTTTCTACCTCAACTTCTTCATCTGTGAAATAAAGATACCTGCAATATCCTTCTCTAGTAATCCTGAAAATATTTAGCTGATAAAATTTTTAAAAGCAGTGAATGGTATATATGAAATTAATTCATATTAAAATGTATAACTTTTGCTTACATTTGGATCCTCAACAAATAGAATGGGAGGCACGTTTCAAAATCTCAAATAATAATTATGATATGACTGAATGACTGACTGACTGAATGGGAAAATAAGAAAAGAGGATCGTAGGAGTCGCTTTGATCTGCAATTTTCATATCACTTTAGACTTGAACTCCCTTTCTCCAGTAAAAGCATTTTCAGATTGAATCAGCCTAAGAAATAATGATATAAAAAAGTAAATATTGTAGTTGAAGATAAAGAGATTATGGAATCCAATGACACACCCTCTTGGTGTTCATTTGCCTTCTCTGCAGCCCCAGGGATATTTCTACTAAAAGATTATGTCTCTGCAGAATGTAGAGGAAAATCCTTGATTTCAGTTCAACTGCTTAAGACCCCTAGAATAGAAAGTTAATGCTAAAAGAAGTTCAGCGACCTGTGCAAGTCTGAGAGCTGTCAGTACTGGATGACAACAGACTCATAAAACTTATGTGACATATTTCTATTACACGGATCTTCATTTCCAAATCCATCCAGGGGGGTCATAGCTACTCTGCTTAAAGTCTCAGCCATGGGCCCACAGTTAAAACTGTAAGAGAAAAGGACAATAGTCTATGAACAAAAGAAAGCAAAACACAAACAAACGTAATATTTATTTTATTTTTCCAGAAGACTATGTCTTATGTTTCCTTCGTTGCTGTTCCCCTGCTTGTTTTCATGCTGCTTCAGGATCTAAATCAATTCATTCAACAAATATTTGAGCATCTTCTGTTAGGCAGCCAGTTCTAAGCACTTGAGATTAACTTGTTAAGTGATGGATGTTAATTAGCTTGATATAGTCATTCCACTATATTTGTGTATATATACGTATGTGTATAAATAGCTAATAATATCATATTTCACCAAGTATACATATACAATAAGTATCCAACAATTAAAAAATTAAAAAATTGAAGACAAGATAAATAGTATTTTATTGTGCATAATTGAATCTATGTAAAAGATGTCTAAACAAAAATACAATTTTAAATTAAAAAAAAAGAAAAATATCTGCCATCATGGTACTCTTTTTTTATTTTAAGCATACTCTAAATAAAAGATTTGGGGGCACTGGTAAAGAGAGATTGAAGAAACATCTGGGATGGTATTTAAGAAAAGTCTTCAGCTCATGATACACAGAAGTAAGTACTATTTTAATGTTAATATTTGCCTTCTCAATTAGAAAGAATAATATACATTTAATCTTAGTAACAGTTTTACTGAACAAAAATAGGTCATCTTTTAGTACCTTTTATTCTTCATCACTTGACTGGTAATATTATATAGCACAATCTTGATGAACATATAGTTTGGGAAAATTTAAAACTGTACACGTGACTAAGAAAATGTCCCCGAACTAAACAAGTAATGTTTTCATTACTCTTTAGGTTTGGTCAGTTCACCCTAGTTCATGGTATCAATAATTATTTCAGTCTCTGCTGCAATTAGTGCTAATTATAATATCTGAACTATAAAAATAAAAGACTTTATTATAGCAAAGTTCACAAATATTGTTTTAGTTCAGCTATCCACATTGTCCATCTAAAACATTAAATGTTTCCTTCACATACAACTGTTTTAGATGTGTAATAATTCAATATATTTTATGAAAAAGAATTGTATCTTAAACAGCACTGTGATGCTAAACATCTACACAAAGAATAATTTTTAAAAAGAGTTGGCAACCTAGTATTCTCAATATTCAGGTATTTGAGATTTTACACACACACACACACACACACATACACACACACACACACACACACACAAAGTCAAGATGAGTGATCAACTTAATTCCTTTTTTTGAGAATTTTGATATTAGATAGACAAAGTCAGCATTCATTTAAATTTAATATATTTTAGGAATTGGTTCCATTTACATAGTTGATGCATGTAAAATACAACACAAAGCCCAAAACAAATTCCTAACTTAGAAACAAGTACATAGCATTGGTTAGTATTGCAAAATAACCAGAGAGAAAAAAATGTTTTTTTCCAGTTTTACCTATATTAAAACAAGTTATTTATTATGCCTTTTCTCAATAAGAACCAATTTATATTCTGTGGTTTGTAAGTATAATCTTTTACTGCTTATCACTATCGGTACATAATAGAATTACACTATTTAGAGTCAGTATGTAGGCTATTTTGTATGAAGATGGGTGGGATTAAAATGTTAATTTCTCAAATACAAAATTGATTTGTGTAGCTTTTAATTAAAATAAATTATAAAAATGAACCCTCTCTTAGAAAAAAAAAAAGATCCATATAGCTATGCAAAATGTTTTAATCTTCCTGGTCTTATTTTTGGGCAATTAAAGAATTGAGAGAAATAAATGCATCTATTAAAGTACAGTCATAGATCATACAAAAAATAATCTCATACTTAACTATCAGTGAAACTCTCAGAATATTTCTTTAAAATATTTATAAAGATATCCTGCTACAATTTTGTTTGTTTTTGGACAAAGGATGTCATGAATATAGCATAGTAAACTGCAGGATGTATAATGTTAGACGTCTTAAAATAAACATACATGATACTGATTCCAAGCTCACTTGATCATGCCAACAATTAATAAAATCAAATACATTACACTGACACATACTAGAAAAGGAATTTAGAACACAGATAAAATAAAGAATTTTATAAATGAAGCTCAAGAAAACTTGATTACTATTAACACAAGTACTCATCTTTCAATATGTTATCTATCATAATAATTTCAGAAAGCATCACCCAGGTTCTGCTTTTTAAGAGTTCCAAAGACGCCTCAAACATGCTGAGTTAAAGTGAAATGGTGATTAATTTTCTATAGATTTTGTAGAGTTTATGAGAGAAGTTGAGGCCCAGGGCAAGTATGTGAAAATAAGCCTAAATTTAAACTAATAGCTCTTCTTTGCTTTCATAATTCTAGATGGCTAGGGTTCCTGGATACAATGGGAACATGACAAGGATAGGACTTGGGAGATTAGTAATATTCTGCCTTGTATAATGAAATTATATTTTTAGAGTTGGGAAGGAGTGAGGAGGAATTTCAGATTGAGATCTTTTATTTCATCTTGATCACTTCATCTGAAATCTCTATGGTCATCTATAAAACATCATCTTTCTTTCATAGGTTATATGAAAAACACAAATGCCCTTCAATTTATAAAAGGGTTACCTACAAATAAACCCATCAAAACTCTACCATAAACATGCTTAAACATGCTCAGAACACTTACATTGGCCTACAGCTGGGCAAAATCATCTAACACAAAGTCTATTTTACAATAAAGTGTTGAATATCTCACATACTGTATCTCTCTAGTCCAAGAAAAGATGAAAATCCAGAATTTAATATACAAGAAAATTGCAATCATTTCATATCACCATAATCTCAGAAAAATTATGAATTGAACCCTCTCAAGTTGGGGATCATCGTGCTGATAAATGACACTGAACTACTCTGAAAGTAGAATTGCTACATGAATATATCACAATTTTACCTTTACAGCTAACTATATATTCCAATTCTTCAGATCCTTATGTTTATTTGAATATGTCATTGTGATCAAAGTTATGCCATTGTATTTCAGAATTTGAGTTCATCTATTGATTACAGTTTCATTTAGTACCTCTTTATTAACTATCTTCTAGGAGCAACAGCTTCAAATGCATTAATTGTAGCTTGGCAAATCTATTCTGCATAACAATGGCTTCATATGCTTTATTCATTTACAAAAAAGGTCTAAGCAGCAAAAGTGAATATATGTGATGCAGACAACCTAACTGAATCAACTGACTTATTAATTTAAGTTTGCAAGTTGGATGCTCTATCAATCCTATCAATAAAATAATTATTCAAGTATCAATTCCTCTTGCTTGTATGTTATATTCAGATTATCCATGAGTGCATTCATTTGATCAGTGATATTCCTATATAAAACTCCAACTCAAATATTAACACAGTCACTGATTTGCTTCAATAATATATTGGTTTTGAAAAACTATGAATCTAAATTCAATACTTCTACCTGGCTATGTTATTTTCATCAAATACCTACTTTGAAATATATATTATCTACATGTCCATTTGTATTTTAGAACCCATCTCTTATCCCACATTCCCATACCCAACTTTATAACAAGAGTCATGCCAAGCATTTCAAGTTAGTTGATTTTTAAAGCTGAGTAATTTCAGTAGACACACAGAGAAGACGCGTCTATCGAATGCCATAAAATTTAATCAAATATATCAGAAATGTAGTCATTTATTCAAATATTTTGTCTATGTCATGCCAAACAAATTTATTAAATTCTGTTAACTGAATAAATTCTTTATAGAATTGTTACGGAGCTATTTAGACAAAATAATAATCATTACTACAAAATAACAAGAAGAGCAGTAAGCATTGTAAAATAAACAGGGATTTTAAATTGATACAAATTCCAGTTGCAAGGATGATTACTTCGATTGGCTAGTGTGGATCAAAACCTTATAAAAAGGCTGCGATTTAGACTCTAAGAATGCTGAGGACCCACACTATTTTATTGTCCTTCGGTTGATTTCAACAACTACCTCACAAAAGTACTAGTTATCCAAATGAACCAGGAGAATTAAGTGTTAGATGGCATTTGAGTTCAAAACAGACCAATCGATATGTTTATGACTGTGGATGTTAGCTTAAAATTAGATTATTGCTTAAGGATCATAATTGGTCTGAAACCATTTGGAAAATCTGTAGGTTACTTTATAAAGTTACATAAAATTGTGAAAAAGTTGCATGCTTTAGAAACAGTATTTCCATCAGGCCTGTGGTCTAAAAAGAGTATGAAGACAATAGCAAATAAATGCTTTTAACACAGTTTCTTGGTATTTACAGTATTTTTTCTTCTCTTGCTGCCATCCCTTCAAAGCTTGTCAGTTGTTTTTCCGGGACTTTTTTTACTTCACATTCAGAACAAGGAGGCATTTGCAATTTCTGTCAAACAATACAAAAAGAAAAGAGAATTATAAGAGTCAAAATGAAAATATTTTAAGGTTAAATCTAAAATCTTACAAAAACAGTAATAAAATAAATATATGCCTACCAACATCTTAATCAAAACTAAAGTCAGAGAAAATTGAAGCAAATGTAAAGATGCTAATTCTTCTACTTTATGAACGTGTATACAAATAATTGGCCTGCAATTGGAAAGATATACTTTAAACTATTTTCAGAAAGCTTTGGCCAAATCACTCAACTCTAATTAATCTAACCCCAAATTTGAGAAACATATTAAGTGAAATTAACTTTAAGAATTACAATAACATCATATTTTTGGCCAAACAGAAAACAATATGAACAAAAATTTAGAAAAAGTTCTTGACCCGTGTTTGTTGTTTTTGTTTTTCTGAAATATGTACTTCTCTCCACCTTTTCTGCTCCCTCAAATCTTCTTTAATCTCCTATATCATATAAAATACATCTATTTTATCTGTTTTTGTTTGTTTGTTTGTTTGCTGGAAGGTGGAGTGTTGGGGAAGAGAAAGATTCTCCTCACACTTCATCATCTGAGAACCTCACATAATCAAATCAAAAGCTTAGCAGAAGTCACAGTAGACACGGAAAAGTCCTGGAGCACCAGGTAAATGAACTATATTGTACCAGTCAATATTACATACTGCTCCAGCAAGAGCAAGAAAGAAAAGCTTTGAGTACAGTGGATCCAAGAAGTGTTTTCTAACATAATCAAAATGAAAAAAATAGACAAAATACCTGTGGGATAGGCTCTGATTCTGCAGTGGCATTACTTAGAGGATTCTCTTTGTGCTTCATGGAACAAGTTTTGCCCTCCTAAATAAGGAGCAGTGGAAAATAGGTCAATGAAGTTAAATTAAAGAAAGAAAGGGAATAAAAAGTCTCACTTGAATTCTTCCCATGGAGAAAGTTATATCACTTTGATACATACCGAAAAGGGGAGCAAGGGACAAAAATATCACCACATGAGCAGGTGACCAAGGAGAGATAAGCACTCATGGCTAATTTTGAGATCTCATTGGTGCTTATGGCAGTCTGTTACTACAAAGAAGTGCAATTCCAATGGAAAGTTATCTCCCAGTAAATGTTATAAAAGAAGTAAAAGATGATAAAATGACTTTACAGGGATGCATTTAGACTCTAAGATTTAAATCATTGATCTATATGCCTGCAGGAACATCAATATTGCAAGCCAGAAAGCAATTTAAATAATATGAGCATCAATTTGTCTCATAAAAAATTCTTCATATCTTAAATATTTCTGGAACTAAGATCCTAAATTTTACTCACCAGAAAAAACTTACTTATGAGCTTCATCAGTTGTGAGAATGAAGTACTGGCAGTGGAAAAAACATTCTATTTGGGCTTTATTTCTATTTTAACCAAGGTTAAAATATTGACTTTTTCCTTCCTTCCTTCCTTCCTCCCTACCTTCCTATCTCCCTCTTTTCCTTTATTTTCTTCTTGCCTTTTCCTCTTTCTTTCTTCTTTCTTTATTCTCCTTTTCTTCTTTTTATTATAAGCATAGTTTTAAATTAAAAGCAAATTATTTAGTGTAAGAATCTGCATGTTTGTCTGTATTTCCTGAAATCATTTCATGTATAAAACAGGGCCTACCAGTTAAGTAATCCATGACCATTGGATAATTCCGACATTTGAAAAGTCAGTTTCTTCCATGGAAGTCAACTAGGTGCTGACGATTTAAATTGACTTCAGACTCTCACATCCCCAAAATTTAGAGTAGATAATAACTAAAGAGGTGTGTGGGAGAGTAATTCAACTCCAATTCAGATTTTAAAGAATCATTATTTTTGCATGCTTCCTGTTTTGACACTGCATTGCTCTTTGGACACAAATCATGTCTTGTTACTCTCCCTTGCCTATGTGTATGCTATTCCACTTTCCTAAAAGCACGGAAGTCTTCCTTAGCTGCGAGAGTCTGAAAAACAGCTACTCCTTCCCTCCATGGCTCATCCTTTCCACCACTAGGTAAGCTCAGTCACAGTTCCTTGCTCTAAAACTGTTAGGCATATAACATTTTGCATTATTTTTACATGTACAATCATGCTTGACTCCTCATTTCCTTTAAGATAAGGGGTACATTTATCTCTTCTAGACCACAGGTAGATGTCTATCAGTTAGTAAGTGGTCAATAATATATAATCTCTAAATAAAAATTAAATGAATAAAAACAGTGATGGTGACAGCATTTCAAAACTTTGGGATTTTCATAAATGCCTTCTTTCTTTGTATGACCAGATTTGTCTATTTGATAGGAGCCCCAAAACGTTAATACGCAATTTATTCTTCTAAAGAAGTCGACAGTATAAAAAAATGAGATTGTAACTCTAAGACTAGAAACTAATGGCTGAAAACTTAACTACCTTTTTCTCAATATTTGTAAGCAAATGCATAAAAAAATCATCTACACTACCTAGGAGACAATACATATTTTTTCTTATTTTATGAGTTTCAGTTAGATCTGGAATCTCACATTTCCCTGAAAAAAATTTAATTACTCTGTTTTTGCTATACATAAACCAGCTGGCTTTTGTTTTTATTATACTTTCATTCAGACTTTGAAAATTTGACTAAGATATCTGTATAAAATGAAGCTCAAAATACATGCTCCATACAGAAAATAACTTGTATGCTGTAGGATTTTCCAAAATTCATTTGGGAAAAATAGAGTTCATAAGTCAAATTTGTTTGGGGGAAAATAACTCAACATTAAAATGTATTTACTGTACTTATTCTCAAAACTTTAAAGTATGCTATCTTGAAGTTTTGATCTGGAATGAACTGTTCATATTCTCACATGAGGTGACAATTAAAAAGTATACTCTAGGGTAATAATTCTGTCCTATAAATATGGGGCTTGCATATTTAACCAGCATGCCAGAGTATCAAATAACACATAAAATTTGATATCTACTTCTTTATAATGAACAAAAGTATTATAAATCTCTAAGAAGGAGATATAATATAAACATTTCCTAAATTTATTTGCCCTCAAAACTCCGTACGTGTAAAGCATCATTTGAGGTCATTGTCATGAGGAAGATAATAGAAGATTTGCTGTGGAGTGTGTTATTTCACTAATGCCAGTACAGCCAAGTATTTGAGAGAAGGCTTTGATCATCTGAACAATGAAAACTTATTACATTTCAACATTAAAGAAAATGTGATGTGGCTGGAAGACAGTTGAAACTTTTTCTGATACTTTGATCCTATAATGAACACTACCTTTAAATTACCCTTTTTGTACTTCATAGGCATTGTGGAAATTTCATCAGATGGGATTTACAAAATTCTTAGTGTTTCTCAGAGAGGCACCAGAGATAAGGCCACACAATTATACCTCACAGATACTGCACCTTAACAAGCATCTTACTAAACTTCTAGCTTTTGCTGAAACAGGCATTCATTTGGTAGGAATACAAAAGATAGGTTTCTTCATAGAGTTCTCTCACTCTTGCAAATAGGACTCAGATAATCAAAAGTTCCAGAGAACTGCAGATAGGAGGACAAAACAAATTTGATCAACTTTCCACACTGTAGTTTAATAGTAGTTCTACTTATTGATTAACAGTGCTCTGAATTAAAGTAGACTTTGAATAACATTTTAGCTCTGATGGTAATTCATTGGTAATCTTGATCAAATTATTTTTATATGGCCTTTAGTTTGTTTGACTTTAAAATGGGTCTACTTCTTCATGGAGTTAATTTGTGTGTAAAATTAGAAAACACACAAAAATATTCAGCATATATATTAGCAAATAGTAAGTATTCTTTTCAGTTTTTTCCTTCTAGTATTATTTTAGCTATTACTATTATTAATGGCTGCCAATCAACAATCTGATCAGTTGACACTGAGTTACAAAACTTTATGTTGCAAATGCAACAGTTATGCAATTTCTACAAAGAGAGAAAGAAGAGGAAAGGTGGAAAGAAGAGAAGAAAATGTAGAAAAAAGTGCTGGCTAGAGGGTATACAAAAACATTAATTTCTATTGCTATTCTTTTATCAGCAAAGACAAAAGCAATAACAATAATTACCTCAGCTAATGGTTTGGTTTGGGAAGAAAAAAAAACTTGAAAAACAGGTGTTTCAAGGTTATGTAAAGTTAGGTTTTTATATTTGAAGATTTAGCCAATAAAACATAGGTTTGGGGTTAGAGTGGGAATCACTTAATAATGAATTAAGCCAACAGGTCTACTTCAAAGGAAGCTACCTTGGAAAAAACATGTGATTCTTAAAACCCAATCGCTTTGTTTAAAAGGCCATGTTGTAAGGTAAGAGGTGGGGTCACTGAGGATAAAAATAGTTACTTGCAGCTATAGCTAGAAAGTAGATATAATTTTTTAGAAAAACTACTGGAAAGCTCCTGCAAAGGGTTTTTGTTTTTTTGCTTCATGGCCACACAAGTTAAATCTAGAGAATCTAATGAGTTACCTTGATAATTCTTAAACTGTCTGAACAAGAGTCAATTTGAGCTTCAAAAATCACTTTATGCTTTAATCATTCATTCCACAAACAATTATTGAGTTTCTGTTATGAGGCAGGCACTGACTGACTGAAAATGGAACACTGAAAAAGGGCAAAGTCTTTGCTCTTGATGGAGGCTACATGCTAGTGGAGAAAGCAGACATAAATCCCTAAATGAGAACATATAACAGAGAGTACCATAAAGGAAAAGTGTCATGATGGGAAGTACCTTCAGGTCACATCCAGTGGCGTTCTCAGTGAGATGAGAGCATGGCTTTTGAGTCAGGTATATCTATATTTAAGTCTCAGTTCTTTCACTTTTACTCTTCACCTATCAGAAGCCTCATAACATTCTTGGGCCTGAATTTCACCATCAAAAATGCGGATATTAATATCTATCCTAATCTCTGTAAGTATTAAAACACAAATTCAAACTGCTTAGTGTATTTGTGTGAAAAATTTTAGATACACAAGTAGCATTTGTATAATTACTTCAGGAGACTAAAACCAGTTACTCTATTTTCTTTCAATTGTTTTTAACTTTATATGCTTTGTCATGATGTGTGCCCTAAAATGTACAATATATATCTGAAATAAATTAAGAATGATAGTTCTGTTTCAATTTATTTGCTGTTGGCATATTTACTTAGAACTGTGTTAAGTAATATAAAGGTACAAAAGAGGTAAGTGTATTTTCTTATAGAGTTTTCATGAAGTACATAGGCCATTCCTTAGTGGAATCATAATTTTAAAAAGATTGCATAACATGATCGTTGTTCATTGTGCTGAAAGTAAGATACACTCATCTGCTTTGTGTAAATGACTTGCTGTCTGTCTGCATGACTATGGCTCTCTTCATGAGTGAAATCTGTAGGCCCCAATGCAAGGAAAACTGAAAGGTCAAGGCTAAAGGTGACTAAAGGGAAGGAAAGTCTTCCAGGGCATAAATTGAAGGGTAGTAAAGGAAATTTGTTTTGTTTTAGTTTTGTCAGGCACTTTATAATTTTTCCTTTCAATAACACACACACACACACACACACACACAATGTCATTATCATCAAAATAATCTAGGAATTTATTATATGTCTGAAAATCATTATCTTTAAATTTATTAAGTTATGCTTAAAAAACACAATTATTTAAAAACACTTATCTTAATACAGTAAAAATGCTTGTTAAAGATCTACCTAGGATATTTTGCCAGGTGGAAGTCTAAGATAGTTCCCGTTTCTCACCCCCTGGTGTGCAAACCTTACTTAACATCCTCCCTTTAATGGAGGCTCACAGACAGAACCTATAGAATGTAACTCCCACATTTGACATAACTA